CCCCCCCAATGGCAGATGTTGTGGTCTCATTTGATTGCATAGGAAAACTGCAGTGATACAGCAAACACCCAGAGAGATATGATGACAAATGGGTCCAGATCCCGGTAAATTACTTTCTGCTCAAATCGAAATTTCATTCAGTTTGTTGCTAGCAGAGATGAAGTAATCTAAATTGTGGACTCAGGAGCAGATAGAGGGAAGTTGGAGCAAGCATTTCATTATCAAGAGAGAGAGAAGGTTAGGATGAAAGAGATGAGCAGAGGCAAATCTAAAGTGTTGACACCATGATTGAAAAGGTTAACCCATACACATTATATATCAACCTGGATAGCAGAGAGTTTCTAATGGAAACTCTGCACTGATGGAGGTTTACTGGAGTTTCAATACACTGAGCATGATGTCTTCTTAGATATACAATCAAATCCTCTTAACCCTTTTGATGACTCATATCTCAAGATATGATTAAAGTACAAAAGAGTTCTTCATATAATTTCAAGGACACAATGCATTTAAACTCCAGTCATGAATTGTATCTTTTTTTTTTTTTTATGATGAACTCAGTAATCTGATAAAATGTGTGTAGTACAGAATTGTTTGTGTTTCTAGAGGTGTAAGTCAATATTTCTGATTTAATCCTGTGTAACCACATCCAAGGTAAGGTGAAGCTACCAGTTGTTACACAAAAATATACTTTTTCATATTATGAAACATAAGCAAGTTGGAAGATAGGGGTCAGAAGTCTAAAATAGTTGTGTAATAAACCATGGCAGTGATGTGCAAAATGTCTAGAGCCTTCTGTGTATTAAATTATTCACAATCATCACCTCTGTTTCAGGTTATTTGGAAATAGTGGTGCTTGCAGTGCCTGTGGACAGTCCATTCCTGCTAGTGAGCTGGTCATGAGGGCACAGGGCAATGTCTATCATCTTAAGGTGAGGGGTTTTTTCTGTGTACTTTCATTTTTAGCAGCTGATTAGTACTGCCATGCCTCTTTAGTGTAAAACCTGTATCTGCTGATGAATGAAATGCAAAATAATAACTAGAAGAAGGAGTATCTATTATAAAGCTTAGTGCATAGCTTTGTTCCCTCGTAATCGGTAAAACTCTGCTTGAGTTGTGCACTGTATAGTCCCAGCAGGTAAGACTGATGCCAAATTTGGAGATACTAGAAACCGAGCAGCTCCGTATCAAAACTGCACTTGCAGTCTCTGAAGTGTAATTTTCAAACCTGCAGCATACTTAATTTGTGCTGTAGTTTCACTTGCTGTCTCTTTCCTTTCCCAGTGTTTTACATGCTCTACCTGCCGGAATCGCCTGGTCCCCGGAGATCGGTTTCACTACATCAATGGCAGTTTATTTTGTGAACATGATAGACCTACAGCTCTCATCAATGGCCATTTGAATTCACTTCAGAGTAATCCACTACTGCCAGACCAGAAGGTGAATACTCCACAATTACTAATAAGCTTTCTTAGAGCTAAATGAAGATCAATTTCTTTTCATTCTAATGTTGGACATTCCCTACCCCTGCAAAGAGACCTTTAAGTAGCTGAACTTACCTTAAGTTATTTAGGCACAGGGTGTGGGGAGAAAATAGTAACCTTTTAAATATGACATACAGGGTGAGTCAGTTTATTTTGGTTTGGGCACGTGCATCTGTACAGGTGTTGAACTCTTTATGTACAAAGCAAAATGGAGAGCATACATTAATACAAACTTCTAAGAAAGAGAAGTATTTTATTTTATAATCTTGAAATTAAGGGCTACAAGAGAGCAGGTTTCTGAGGGAGGAAAATTAGATCCTTTAATATGGAAATAAACGTCTTGTGAAGAGAAGGTTGCTGAACTAAATTAATGTATTTCATTTTAATATTAAGATTTTAGTTGAGGAAGCATGCTGGGGTACTCTTTCAGGAGTATTTTCTTGCCTGTTTTGTGTGTCGTAACTCAGATTTTAAAACCGAAGTGCTATTTTCTTACTGTTCCATAACACTAATAGCTCAACTAGAGATTGTGTATCTCTGTGGTTGGTAGTTTTGGTTCCTAGCTAAATGAGTAAATAATGACTCTACAGATCATAAAGTGAAGAAGAAGACGAAAAAAAAAAATTCCGATCAACAGTTGTGTTGTAACTCTGAAACTAGATAGTTTTAGATGTATTTTAATCTTCTTAATCAGTCCTAAAGCTATGCAAGTGAGTGCATTTTGATAACTGCTGTGCCTAATTTGTAACAATTACTGTCAACCTTGAGTTAAGAGACTGTTCATTCCACCCTGGTCCAGAAAAGAGTGGATGTATGACTCTTGCACATAATTTTATTCACATCATATTTCATACTGATTATGTATTGATGACATTGATTCATTTACTCTTTACAGCGCCACTTGCATGGATATTAAATCTTATTGACCACAGATGAATTTTAATTTCAGATTGGTGATAGATTTTTCCATCAGCTCTGATAGTATATTTGACTTTTTCATCATTAACCCAGGCAATCACACAGCACTGAGTTATTGCAATGAAACAAAAAGTGCACACTTCAGTTGGTAATTCTTTATAGATTTACAATAGGAACTTCATTAATGTCTGTAAGGATCACAAAAAATAACATTTATCTGCAAGCAGAAATTTGGAAAATAAAAAAAAATCTGGGACAAATGCTAGGCTGATCTATTCTGTAATGTTCAGTATATTTTGTAGTGCTTTTAGTCAGTGGAGAAATGTGTGAGAAAACAGAAACTGTTCTTTAATTTACATGATTTCTTTTTTTTTGGTTGTGTTGCTACATTTCAATATCTGTGTTTGCTTTTTTTTTTTTCCGTGCATAAATTTACTGATTAATTTTAAGTATTCTTTCAAGTCTTATACAGTGAATGTAATTACATCAAAATAAAGCATGGACCTTTTTATTTACTTAATTTGTCAATCGAGGTGATGAGAGAATTGAGTACAAAAATGCTACATAGTTAGGCAGAACAAAGATAATTAAGATTGGAAGAGAATGTGCAGCGTCTTCTTAAGGAAGTACAAATACAGTTAAAGATTCATAGATTTATACTGTTGTGAATTTTAATGAAACAAATCTGTGATATAGACTAGCTAGCAGTGATTCTGTTAAATGAATATTTATAGGTATCCCATTTCAAAATATAGGTAAAACCATTCATCTTTATACACTGCAGTAAAAGGTTTACCATTCTGAGAGTGGTTTATCCACTTGTCTTCTACGAATGTAAAGTTTAATGTAACTTCAAATAGGTGTCTAAATTGTCACTTAGTTTTATCAGTTTCTTTCTGTGCCCTAGCAAAGCATAAAAATGATTTAGTTGCAATAAAAGCAGGAGACATGACGAGGAACATAGAACATGGAAAAGAGAAGTAAAACGGGACTGGGCTTGCAGAACTCGTGACTGTAGGTACCTGGTGGGAGCTAAATGCAAGGAGAAGGATGAGAGCAGGTTTTTGTTAGCTCCTGTCACTGACTGGTTGTGCCCTTGCTGAGGCCACAGCTGAGGCAGCTCTTGGGGAGAAGGCTGAGGGGACACCTAGTTTGAGGGTTTTTTTTTCTTTATCATACAATCTAGAAATTGTTTTAACTTCTACTGGTTTTCAAAGGGAATTGCAGAGTACCGAAACTCCAGAAAACAAACACAGTTAAAGAGATCAGTTGATAATTCATGTATATGTCAGGTTTCTGGAACTTTGGAAACTACAGGGACAGTTGCTAAGAGAGTTATGTTTTATATTTTATTTTTTTAACAGTCCAGGTATTTTAACATCAGAGATGTTTTCCAGAAAGCTGTATGTTTTAGTGCCACTGATTAAAAATATTCTTCCACTGTAACAGAGTTGGCTGTAACAGATAGTTTTTCTTAAACATTACAGATCAATCACTTTCCATGTTATTCTATCACTAACGATTACAGAGATAGCAGAATATCCACAGGGTTGGTTTTTTTGTTTTTTTTTTTTTATTTAACTGAAGAGATTGAGACACTCCAAGCATTAAAACACATTTTTGTTGTGCATGTGAAGTGACAGTTATGAACTTTTCTCTCAGTGCAGTTTACAGGCAACTGGTGCAGGCAGGAAAGGTTGCATGGCCTAACTTGGTTTAAAAACTTAGGTTGTTTTTTTTTTTTTAAGGAGTCAAACACAGGGATGTTTGCCATTCCTGCCTTTTACCTGCTTGAGGCAATTCAGACATGTAAATTATAACTTCCTATCACTTGCCCTGTAGTTTAAAAAAAACCCCTGTTTTCTCCAGACTCAATACTGCTTGCCTGCAGAGTGCAAACTTAGTTTGTGATGTCCTGTGTGCCATTTCATTTGAAGGGGCTGTATTGTCAAGAATTCTGTCTGCTTTATTTGTACTGGTAGTATTCCTGTAGTATTTCTTGTTTGGAACAGTATTACCACCTACTAAAAGTGTAAATTTTCCAGCGGTTGGCAATGTTTGTAACAAATGCTTGTCTTCAGCTTCTATACTTTTAAATAAAGCATGAGTTACATTATGTCTCTTAGCGAAGATCTTAAAAATCTTCTAGTTTACATATCACTCAACAATTCCCTTGTAGTTACATAATTGGTGTTGTCTGTGTCCATAGTAGAAGATATTTGATGCTCATTTATTAAATATGCTTGCTGGCTGCTCCCTAATCTTTGTTCTGGACAGACAAATTACCTTTCTCACACTGAGCTTCAGCTCTGGGGAATTAAACCTCCAAGCCTCTACTACTTTAATTAGCTTGAAAGTGGGGGGTTGCAGTTAGTAATAGACCTCAGGCTTTTAGTAACTTAGAGAAAGGGTGAAAAAAGAACTTCCTGGGAAGCGCAAAATGTCATTTAAAAGCCATAAAAATCTAATATATATTATTTCATTTTGGTAATTGCAAACAGATTGTATTTGAAGACTATGGATGATCATTCCTATTTTATCCATGAAAGTTTAGATTTTTATTGAGTTAGACACTTTTAATTATCACAATTCATTAACACCAGTATGAAAGCACATGTTTGACTTAATATATTAAAATGTTTATGTAACATTAACTAACGTACCAGATGAGGAATTTAAATGGGAGGGGAGAATCCTGAAATATCTATATTTAGCTCTTGTGCAATGCAGCATATTAACCAAAGTTGCCTTGGGAGGATATTGGCTGTACTTCATATTTGCTTTACACACTATTTCTTCCAATTACAAGATCATATTACTCGCTTCTTCAAAGGCATGGCATAATGGTTCTTCCCTTTCAAACGGGGCCCAGAAAAACCACCTTATTCACTGTATGATTTGTTACGAGAAAGTACACTTATTTCTTGTTGTAGTGTCTTTTTATTCATGTCTGCTTTCTTTAGTAGTGAAACTGTGAAAAATGTTTGCTTTTTGCTATTGAAAGTTGAAACGTTAGCAGTGTGAATGGACAGTGTAGAAAGCCTTAACCAAGTCACAGTTGGAAAGTAGTCTAATAAAAAAGAGATTAGTGAATAGGGAAAAACAAAAGCAGTCATATTGTAGTTTCCTATCTCAAATTTAGCTAAGATACCCATTTTTATTTCTTACAGGTCTGCTAAAAGGTCAGAGTAATGCAGAATGCGTGCCTTCATCTCAAATTTTGTTCATCACAGATGGATCCCATGTCTCCAAGTAGACAAGTCACCTTTGTAGCTAGCATCAATGCCAGCTCCATACCATTGCACCTTCTTTATTCTTGATTGCCCTTCCCACATTTATTGGTGTATTAAAATGACTGAATATGAACATTAAGGACTCCATGAACCTGGGCTAATGGGAGACTGTAGAGAAAATGAAAAAAGATCCACCGGAGGACATCTTGGGGGGGGTGGGNGGGGGGGTGGGGACGATGACTAATGAAGCTAATTAAAAGCATTGAAATCTGCTTTCTACCCTCATTAACAATTAGCAGGGCACTGGCCAGTTTGTACCCTGTGTTTTACCTTAACAACATTCTATTTGCTCTTTGTATATTTAAGTGTTGTAAGGAAATGTGTTTCAATCAAACTGAACATGAGATAAAGATGTGGCTTTTGTGATATTCTATCACAAACACTTTTATTGTATCTCTGTAAAATACAATGTATGTATGCATGTAAGTGTTTTTGTCCTAATGTTGCTACTTCCCATGGCAAAAAAAAAAAAAAAAAGAAAAAAAGTCAGGCTCATAGCAGCTACTGTGTAGAAATTTTCACCTACTTCTAATTTGCTGAATGAAGAAAAATCTTTTATTTGTGATATTTTCAGAGACATTTGCTCTAGTATGGTGTATTTAAATAATAAAAAGTAAAACAAAACTGAGTATGGGTTTTAGAAGCTTTGCTTTTTTTTAAAATTGCATTCAAAATATTCTGCAACTTCATCTTACATAGTCGTTACCTTTATTGTCAATTACCTTTAAAAGCAGGTTTTTGGTTTGGATTTTTTCTTTTGTCTTATGCCAGGAAGGAATCTGCTAAACTACTTGTGTTACTTGTGGCAAGGATAACGAGTACTACTTCAAAAAAAAAAAAAAAATTCATGGAGATTCTTAATTCTGGTAACAGCAAGTACATTATGATTCCCATTGCAATGAATTACAGCACACACAGAGGTACTGTGGTCTCTTTCTTTCCAGTTCCTTCTGTGTTAAGGATGTGCCTGTGTCTCTGAGCGTGCAAGCATAAGAGGGTATGAATATACCATAAGAGGTCGAAAAAATAAAAGCCAACTAAAGGTCTGTACCTCATGCTGAGCACTAGAATTGAGTATTCATGAAAAGGAATACAATAGCTATTCTGATCTGAACAACATCAAGTTGTGTTTGCTGGGGTGGGAGACTTTAACTTTTCAACACTGATAATCTTAAGGAAAGAAAAACCTGTTTCCTGGGCTGTTTCTGAGAACTAGCTGATCTCAAAATATGATCTCTGAAAGCAAATAAACAAAAACCACCTCCCCATAAAGCAGCAGAGCCACCTCTAAGCTTAGAAAGGAAACAACTTCATTTTGCACATTTTTCCCATCGGCTGTTTGGTGGTTGATCTGTGCAGAATACTTTTGAGAAAAAAAAAAAATCTGACTTTTCATGTTTTTAGCAAGAATACTAACATGGATCTGTGGCTGTCCACTGTGTGCCTTCACTCAGGAACCTGCAAGCAACGAATCTGCCTTTGCTGCAATTGAAAGCAAATCAATATTAAGAAATAGTCAACTTTTATAGGAAACTAATACATTCATAACACATCATTATTTTAATTCTGTTTTTCAGAAAGTGTTCACTGCTCAGCTGCTCGGTTATGGAGTGAGCTTGACTTATTTTTGTTGTGTTGCCAATACACAAAAAGCTGATTTATAGATTTATATGTCTAAACAACGAACAGCAGATATTTTTGTTTCAGATACTACTTCATGACCTCTAGTATATTGGAGGGCTGCTGAATTTCTTCTTTAAACACTTCAGTGCTTGAGGAGGAAGCACTGTTTCAGAGAAAAAAAATTAGCAACATACAGTATCAGACAGTAAAAACAAAATACTACTTTCATAACATATAAAGCACAACATAAATGACTGACACTATGTATGACTTTTAATTAAATGCACTTGTGGGTATTTTAAATAACTTTCTAAGCTTTTTGATCTGGCATTAAAGTCTTCAGAGTCCTGCAAATTGTGCTGCTTCAATATCTTTGAAAAGACACTTGAAGTCATATGAATATAGAATTCAAGTATTAGTGAGACTGTAGACATCTTTTTATATTCTTTCAGTATAAGCACTCAAGGTACAGTGTTTAAATCTAACATGTACAGATTTTTGGTTGTCCAATATAACCTAGAAGTGCTAAGAAGATAGCTAATAACTTCTAGTAAGTAATGTAGTATTGCATTTAGTGATGTAGAGGTTGAAGTTCATTAACAGCTTTAAATAAACTATTATATGACTCATTTGTAAAGCACAGCTACCTATTTAATAGCTTACTTTAAAAGCATTTCTTAAGTTGCAGACCTATAAGATTACAAATGTCACTCATGTTAGCATAATCCACATGCAAGTGATGAAGCCTTTGCTTTGATGTGCTAAATTGCAGGAGGACTAATGGAGCTATGAATATACAATAGAACATATTTAAGTAGTATTCTTGCTTTAGGTAAAACACTTTCTTAAAACCAGAGGCATTTCACACAATGAAACAGGCTGTAATGGGGATGGGTAGGTGTGGGCAGAAGGCTACTGGAAACACTTAGATTTGTCCTTATGTGAAAAATCTTCTTTTTAAAGAGATCGGTAAAGAAAAACATATACTTCTTCACCTTTTATCACATGTATTTGCTGCACTGAGGGTGAAATACACCCTCTGCATTTAGTGCTGCTGAAAAGTAAAATAATTATTCAGTAAGAGCTTTCCTTACTTTCAAAAATGAATGCTGTTAAAAAAAGAATCAAAGGAAATATTACTAATCTGAAATCATCCTCATGAACCTGGATAAAATGCTCTGTCTATACTGCATCTAAACATCTCAATCATATAAATTGTCACTCTTATTAATGAAACAATTTTGTAAAAAGATTGCCCTCTAAATGGGTTTAATGTTTTTACCTATCCAGCTGTCTAGTTATGAGATTTACGCATCCTGGCAGGCAGTGGGATATTAAGCCTTTCCAAACCAAATTCTGTTTGCAACAAGATACTGTCTTTTCAGTCCTACATGATTTATCTTTAAATATTTTAACAGGTTATGCAGTATCTTATGAAATATAAAATGAGAATGTCTTAACAAAATGAAGCCTATGAAATTAAGTCACATCTTCAGAATATTAACCACACTGAGTTTGTCTCCCTTTTTCCCTGTTAGTTAAAACTGATAAAATTTGCATCACCTAACATTAGGGTAAATACTAAAAAAAAAAAGCCCAAAACTCACATATTGGCAGAGTATGCCTTGCTATCAAGGTGGTGGAGTCACCATTCCTGGAGGTGTTTAAGGAAAGACTGGACATGGCACCGAGTGCCACAGTCTGTTCTGTGATTTCAAAAGATCATTTCAATTTAAATCTTTTATCAAAGTGTTTTTCTGGTAGTTGTATGTGAAGTGTGTAGCTTTTTCCAAGTATTTATTCTGAACGGTTCTATTACAAAATCAAATTGAGATTAGGAAATTTATGTATATACATTTGTTTAAGTTACACATTTAATTAGTTTGAAATTGTGTTCTGAGTTTGATGGCACTGCCTAAGACTCCTGTACATGCAGTACCAGATAACCCTTGATGCTTGTTACTGTTACTACCAGGTGTATGCCTATTGTCAGTCCAGCTAAGCCACAGACAAGCTTATTGCAATTAAATAGCAATTTGTTTCTATGAAACTGCAATTAAAGTATTACTGATCAGCCATTTTAGATTGGCAGTGCTGTGGCTGCATGTTAAACAGAGGAGCTCTCGATTCGTTTCTGCAGTTGGAGGCGAGGAACAGTGAGGTGTAACACGCTCACCTCTGTCCCTTGTCAAGCTGGAAGTATGAGTCCTTGGTGAAGTGCTCTGATCTCATCACCAACATGCTGAGAGCGATGACAAGTCAGGGCTGATCTCTGTAAGTTGAACTTGCAGCTTACAGGACCTGAAGTTATTGCTGTTTCTGTTCCTGTATAAGCAGGGATGTGTACGCTTCCTACGGGGATGTTTTCAGCTCCAGATTGATTCTGTTGAGAATGGACAGCAAGTTGTGGGCCCCAAGCCAATAACATTCTGCAGGTCCTGACTTGTTAGAGCTGTGTAAACAGGGCTACTATAGCTCCTTAATCATAACTAATAAAAGACTAGAAGAAAGCAATCAATTACCTTATAAGTTTTGTTTGTTTTGTTTGTTTTTTTCTTTTTTAATAAAAAGCAGAAGTTTATCTGACATGGTGATTATTTTCACGCTCATACAAGGGATGAGAGTTTAAAGCAATCTGATGGGCTTACCTGTGTGCACCTGGGGCTTGCTGACAACTATTTGCTTGTGATATTCCTGGGAAGCCACAGTGCTCCTGCCCCTAGGCCTTGCAGAACCCACCAGCCACTGCCTGGAGTCCCTGGCCAAGCTTGTACCATTCCTGGTTGATGTGAAACCTGAAATGTAAATTTTTGGTGCAAATTAAAAACTTGTTTGTAAGAACTCAGAGAGGAATTAACTTTGTAGTGGTAATTTTGTTTTTTAATTATCACCATATTTTAACAAAGTCTGAGACGTGTTAACTTTAGTTCCTGCATTTTTGTAGAGTGGAGGCTGTAGACATCCTGGTTCCTCTGCCAGAGGGGATGACATCACACCTGTGGCATGCATGAGATAAGCATTGCTTCATTTAGGCACAGGTCTCTGAGAGATATTCCTTGCGGGGGTGAAGGTTGGGTTCCTGCAGTGTGACCCGTGGGGTGGGTGATTGCTGCTGGGGAAACTGCTGCAGGTTTGCTGCTCAGGTGGCACACGGATAACAAATGCCACCTGAGCAGCTCTTGGCTCCTGGCAAATGGCAAGTAAAATGCCTGTGCTTAAACCTAAGTGAAAATGGCCCAGCTGACAGTAATTCATTCACCCTGGTAGAGTGGTCTTATGTCTGAGCCCAAGGCCTGAAAAGAGCCCTGTTTACTGGAGACAGACGCTACTGTGTTGAGAAATTTTTTTCCCCTTCCTCTGTGGGTATTTTTTAATGAGTTCTGTTGTTGTGCTTCTTTTAACAGTAGTTCTAGCATTAAGCTCACAGAAATGTTTTTGGTGTGCAGGAGGCTGCACAATTCAGAGGGGGAGGCAATAGGATGTAAGGGGGTAGTTGGGGGTGGCTCACCAGAGGCTTTTTTTACCCTGCTAGCCTGTAGCTTGATGGCCCCAGAAGGACCAGTCCTGAGAAGGGCCTGGGCTTTCAAAGAACAGGGAATGCACCCTAGGAAGGCTGGAAATTTTGATAGGTGCTAAGTTTCAGCAAATGTAAGCTGAAAATTCTCTCATATTCATTGTCATAATGGAGACCTTGTCGACCATTGTGCTGTTTTGTTCCCATGTGTAATAATTGCTCTCACGTTTTTGTGATCATTTTATCTTCTTAAATCAGCTCTCTGCTGCATTATTCACTCACAAATGCTGAAGCTTGAAAATTGCTTTTTTAAAAAAATATAAAAATGTTTAAAAATGTAATATTTTGCTTTTTAAAATTGTTTTTATTTGCTGCTATGCATTTAATTTAAAAAAACTAAAATCAAAACGAAAACCTTCAACAATTTTGTTGGAACAGTCCTACAAACTGTGGCATTAAGACCAAAATTAGGCTTCCTGAGACATGCCTGCCCCAAAAGAATTTTTTTGAGAGTATACTGGGGAGAAAATGGACATTTTGAAAAAAGTTATTCTTCCTGGTTGGGTGTTGGCCCCAGTGAAGCTGCCCATGAGGAGGGTTCCGTGCTGCCGAGCACAGTGAGATGGGCAGCATGAGAGGAACCCCCAGACAGAGCCTGCCCCACCGCCTTTCCCAGCACTGGTGAGGGGTCCCTCCTGGTGCCCATCGTGTCCTTTGCTCCTAGTGGTGGCTGGTGAGCAAGCCAAAGCTCTCCCTGTGCAGTCAGACTCCTCTGCAGCTAAACCAGACAATGTTTCTTTCTCACATTGTTGGAATATCTAATTACATTTTGAAATATCCATATAATTTTCCTCTTAGGGGAATCTTACAAGCAAGGTGCTCGCTAACAACTTCTGTGGTTCACCATAACCTCTCAGAATAATCATTGCTTCCATTGAACTTATGCCAGTTGTTTTGTTAAACTAAGTTGAGAGAACGGGGCCTATATTAATTCTCGAAAGGCAAGAGATTGCCCTGTGATTTGGGGGAATCTTGATTGCTTACAATATGAATAAATGAACGAGGCAGATATTAACTTTACACCTGATTTCAATTTCTTTGAGCAGTGAAGAAATGTCCAGTAGGAGGGTAAAAATCCAACTAAAACTCATAAGCCAGCCATTAATAGGCTAACTTTATTGTGCTGTAAAATCTTCAGCTGCTTATGGAAAACAAAGGGGCAACGAATGCAGTATTTGTCTTTTATTCTTAGAAAAAGCCGTTAAGATCAAACGGCCCCTAACAGACTGAGCTGATATGCATCCCACTTACATATTTTTGGATATCGTTTGATATTCATTCCACTGATGTATTTGATAGGTAATTGTATCAACCATATCGAGATGCTGATACCAAATAGTGGAAGACTTCAGTGTTTTGCCATAAAGCTTATGCCCCTTGTTACTGAACTCTCATCACACTTGGGATCTGCAGCAATCATTTGAAAGCTGTAGTTGGTATTTTTGTGCTTATGCCACATTTAAAAATTATTATTCTTGCTTCATCAGTTAGTCTTTTTAGCTGACTTGAAAAAAAAAAGCATATTGCAAATGAGCTACTATTCTTATTTGTTGTTTTAAGAAGGGTAAGCACTGAAGTATTCAAATGGAACAGATTATACCTTTAATTACATCCAAACAGGATGCTGAGCTGATTTTTCTATTTTCCGTTTAATTGCTATAGTTCAAAAAGATATTGCAAATTTGTAGATGAATTATTTAAGCATAGCCTTCTGGCCTCTGTGTTTATGGGAGAGACCAAACGGGGAAGGGGGGGGAAACAGAATTTAAAGGGGAAAATTACCTCTTCCTTCTTTAAGAAAAAAAGCTTGAATGAAACATCTTGGAGGAAGTGTTTTACCTGGATAGGTATTTTATGCTTTGTGGGAGCATCTTGGGACTCCATGGGATTTGTTTCTATCCCACCAACCACAGTGGGTGCCTGGCTCCCGAGGGCCCCCCTGTCTTGTGCCATGGGTACACAAGTGCTGCTTCTTCTCCAACCTGCTCCTCGATGACTGTGCTGCTTCACAGATGCCATCCCAACCAGCCACCCTTTCCACGGATGTGCTTGATCTCCATTCTCTTACATACAACAAGAGAATAATGAAAGCAAGCACAATTCATCACTTCTTAAACTAAATATATTTCCATTTTGTTTGCATGTGCATGTGTATATATCATTCACCGTATATATTTTGAATATGTACAGCGACATTACAGCCAGTGATAAATCCTACTCACTTACTATATGTGTTATTTGCTGCAACATTAAACTCAGTAAGAATTTTATATGTAACTTGTACCAAAACTAAATATATTGTGAAATTGATGCACAGTTGTAAACAAGAACATCACTCCCTGCTTCAACACAGTTGAAGGTGGCAGCTTGTGTGGCAATTCTTTTGTAAACAACTGCAGACATTCCAAAGAACAAGCCAGTTAATTACATTTTTAATGATGTTTTTAGAAAATAGTATTCTTCTGGCGGGGGGGGAGCCCCAACCTATAAACCAACAAGGAAAGTAAACTTAAAGATTGTACTGTATAAAGAAATGCTGTTGGTGAAAAACTGGACTCTGCTGGGCGCAGGTCTTTTGCCCCCCCAATCTTATTTTTTTTCTTCTGCTGAACTTGCCTGCGTAAAGTACTTTTTTATAGCTCTACTGTGAATTCAAAGAAAGATGACACTGGCACAATCTATTTAAGTTTTTTGGTGGATTATCTTATTTCATTATTTTCAATACTGCTAAGTATGTGCTACCCACTTAGAGAGCTGATGCGGTGCATAGCAAAGCTCAAGATGTCCTCTTAAATACACAAAGCTTATACAAGGCCGTGACACAAGTGGGTTTTAAACATCAGCAGTGCTGGCAGCTTTGAAGGGCTGATACGACACAGCCTTGCCGACACATCACAGGTTACAGGGAGAGATTCAGGAAGAAACTGAACTAACTAGAGTAAGACTAGGACACAACTTTTATTGATGAAGTTCAGGGGAAAGAGGCACTGGGGGCAGCTGTATTAATCCCATAATAACTTGAAATATAATCAGTACATTGCTGCAGGGATGGCTAGGAAGGCAGGGAGGTGGAGGTGTCAGGGTTTAAGTTCACAGGCTTTCCCAGTTCATTAAAAAGTGAATCAATCAGGAAAACAGGCTGGCTTTTCAAAGGGCTGGCAGTTGTGAACGGGCTTCGGACGTTGGGAGGAACACAGATGGTGAGCCCGGCCTTGTGCAGGGGCTGCTGGAGCTCACCAGCCATTCATTTGAGGAGACGGCTGTGTTTTACCCTGCTCAAGCCAGTAAAATGTGTTATAATGTGCTAGGGGAGATTCTGGCTGGATTCTGAGAACTTAAAAGCTAGGCAGTGTTGGTGCTGTGGGCCATATTAAGGTGATACTGATAGATGTTTATAAAGGGAAAAAAGTTTTGTTTTATAATTTCTAATGTGGTGGCTTAACCAGCAGGCAAATGGGCAGAAGGAGTCTGCCTACAGGTCCTCTCTTTGTAGGCAGCTGGTATAGTAATTAGCTCATTACTATTAATTTTTGCCATCCCTGGACTGATCAATGATGTATTTTTTAAAAAAAAGTGGAATCCGTATATCTGGATTTGGCATTTCCTACATCCTTTTGATGAAGCTGGTGTATGTACACAGACCAGAGAACATCTTTGGAGAATGAGCCTGCTCACACCCACAGGCACTCAAAGGTTTAGGACAGAATGCCCTATATTTAAATAGGACTCATGACTTTTTAATTACTGCACAGTGCAACAGGGCTCAGTGAGAATACATGGTTGTCCAAACTTCTGTGATTGCTCACCAGTGGTATGGGACTGCACTTAATCAGTGGTCTGTAGCTCACCTGAGTATCAGCACTGACCACAGGCACAGGTAGGAACGCTGACAGACAGACAGCAATTCCACAGGAGCCTCAGCACAGCGTTGGGAAGAAGGTATGAAAAGAGCTGTGTCCTGTGATGACTGATGCAGGCTGGAGAACGTCCGTGTTAGAAGGCAGTGGTGTCAGAGGGACCTGATAGCTCCTCAGGGGGAAGTGCATCCCTCTGTGGACATCTTTGCTGGAATGTGAGCCTGTATCTTCCTCTGTCCCCTCACATGGATCCTGCCATGCTCGCAGTGGGCAAGAGACCACCCTCAGGTTAACTAATAGTTCCACTGATTGCTGGAGGAGCTGTGGAGAAGGGCAAAGGCATACTTGTCAGTATTACAGTTAAGAGAGGCAAGCTCTTTATTTTGACATTTTCTTTTAAATAATTTTTGCTTTCTAAGATGTTTATAACAACATGAACAACTCAACAGACCTATTATTCAGCAAATATTCACAGCAAATATTTGGCAAGGGCATATTTTAATCCAAACCATCCAGCTTCTCTGTACTTTACTCTGGGCTAGCAAAAGACTTCTTTGAATATGATTAGCCACAGCCTGAACCTTTGAATCTCTCCAATGTGGTTTAAAGCACAAACCAGGCTGGTTCCACACCTCTTTCCAAGCACTATCCTGAGCCACAGCCCAAGGCCTGTGAGTACAAAACCTACCTGCTGGTTTCATTTTATTTTCTTGTTTAGTGTCAGTTTCAAGCACCTCCCAAAATGATCATTTTTTTAAATGTTGATTTCCTCTTCCATTCTCCTTCATCCCAATGCCTGCCTCAGCCTTGCTTGTGTGTCAGCCTGCTCTGAGGACTCATGTTCAAATGGATTCAGCTGGAATGCTAACGTGGCTGGGAGCTGGCACTCACACAGGGCTTGGGGCAGCTCGTAGTGGCCTGACCTGTTTTTACTGAATCAGTTCCAGTTCAGCAGAAGTGGGTCAGACTACCTTCAGCCATGTCGATCCAGAGCTTCACAAGAACTTGCCACTTTGGCAAAGTGGAAATTAATTCAGCTGAAGAACAATCTCAGAAAAGCAGAGATGTCACTGGCATCTTGTTGGCACCATAAACACCCCCAGCTGTAAACATCAGAGACCCC